AGTAGAAGTAGAAGTAGAAGTAGAAGTAGAAGTAGAAGTAGAAGTAGAAGTAGAAGTAGAAGTAGAAGTAGAAGTAGTAGTAGGGGTGGGATCTTGTTACTTTCCCTGACTGTAGGGAAGAGACTGAGCTCTAGCTGGCAACCCTAAAGCTCTTTCAGTAGGATCACCTATTTAAACACTGAAAGACAAGAAGACACAGATGGAGATAAGGTAACTATGGTAGGTAAGTTCCAGAGCTTTGGAAATCCAAGTTAGTCAAGACTCTGAGAAAAAATCATGAACACAGAATAAGAGAATCTGAATTCTAGTGGACAGAGGCTTACAAGGAGCCAGGAGATTAACATTCTAAACTTTCTGCCACCAATTTGCCAGATGATATGAAAAGCACTAGATTGGGAGAGGGGGCCAGAAGACTACCAACCTTGGCCACCAACAGAGGTTGGACTGAGCACATACGATCATAGATTTGCAGCTGGAAGGAACCTTGGAGGTCATCTATTCCAACCCCTTTGTTCAATAGATATCAAAACTGAGACTCAGAGACATTAAGTGATTTACCCAAGACTACACAGGTGGCAGTGAAAGTGGCAGAGCTGAAACCCAGATTCTTTGATTCCCACTCCAGAGATCTTTCTCTCCTTTAGAGAACCCCTAAGGTCCTTCCAAATCCTAAGGTCAAAAATTTCATTCTATTATAATACTTAAGCTCTCTAGACTTCAGGTTACTAGGCAATACATGAGAAGACTCCTTTTTAATCCACAGGGAAAAAGTGAGGTTGAGTAGTAAGAATACAATAAGCATGACCTCATCAAAGGAGAGGCTCTCAAGATTCAGAGTTAAGTCATGATTACTGCTGACAAAGCTCTGAGTGACTAATGCTCTGATGAACGCAACCCAGACTTTGAATACCCCAGTCAGGTCCTCAGAGTAAAGAGTCATTGATCCAGACTCTTTCCTCTTCTATAGCACCAAGACTTCTGGACCCAATTCACTACTACCATCCCTCCAGAATTCTGGAGCATCCATAGACTCAGGATTCTTTAAGGAGAAGCCTTATGGTAAAACAGTCCTGAGTGGCAGGAGCCACTACTCTTCACAGTGAGGATCTGTAATCCCAGGATCTGTGTGCAAATCTTGACTCTGCTATTTAATACCTATACGACCTCTGTCAAGTTGTTCTCCCCCTCTAGACCTGTTTCCATTGTGAAATTAAGAGGTTGGTTAGGTGATAACTAAAGTCTCCATTTTTAGCAATTTTGTAACATGACCCAGAGAAATGCCTGAAGGAAGATGAGGGCTGACGTCCTTAAGAGTAAGGCCTCCAGGGAAGTGGGCAGCAATCAGTGGGGTGGGCTCCAAATGCTGCCCTCAAACTGGAAATCTAATTTCAAGGAGCCACAGGGTGGGACCTGAATGATTGACTAAAGAATGCCCAAGAGAAGTTAAAAAAAAAAAAAGCTCCCCAAAACTCTTATTGATCATCTAGACCCATTTCTTACTCTTAGACAAGGTGAAACTGAGGTCCAGAGAAGGCAGGTTCTATGGAAAGAGCACTGGACTTGGGAGTCATAAGGTCAGGCTGGAAGGAATGTGGGAGGACAACCCTCTTCATTTAATGAAAGAAGAAACCCAGAGAGGTTATCTGACTTGTCTAAGGTCACACAGGTAGCAAGCATCGGGGGTGACATTTGACGTCTGTTCCTCTACCTCCATAAGCCCATGGTTTCTGCTGTACCACAATTCGGGGCCCTGAGTTCAAATCCCGCCTCGGGCCCTGACCTTGGATAAGTCGGTTAAGCTCTTGGCTGGGGGTAGGGGAGAGACCCATTTCCTCCTCGGTAAAATGAAAGGACTGGCGGGGTGCCCTCTGATGCCCCTACCACGACCCCTACGGTCCAGCCCTGGAGAGAGGCTGGAACCTCCCCCGGCCCACCCTTCCCCAGCGGGGGTCTCTCTGCCCCGCTACGTGTGGCGAGGTCACAAAGGGGGCTCGGGGAAGGCCAAGACTGGGTGGGGGGGCGGGTGCCCGCCTCGGGGCTCTGCCTTCGCTCCCACTCCCACGCCGACCCGACCCTTGCCCCAGCCCGGCCTCGCCCCCCACCCCGCCCCGAGGCCCTGCCGAGGGTCCCCCTCCTCACTCGGTCCCGAGTCCCCTTCCTGGAGGCCCTGGATCTCGGCCGCGAGCCCCCCCGGCCTCACAGCTTACCGGACACCCGAAAGTCCCTCTTCCGGCCTCCACATGGTCGCAAGGAAGGCAGAGGCTCCCACATGCCCGGACAAGCCCGGCTTCTGCTCTCAATCGATTGGCTCCTGCAACTGTACTGCCCTCCCCCAAGCTCCTCTGATTGGTCACGGGATTGACATTCGCGTGCCGGCCCGAAGCCGGGAGAGGCGTGGCTTTGGGGAAGGGGCGGGGTTTTCCAGGATCCTCTGGCTTACCTGTGGGGTGGTTTTAAAGGTAAAGGCTGCGGGGACAGAGCCGAGTGAACAGAACCAGAATAAGGAGACATCCTTAGCACAATAATAAAGGAAAACGGAAAAAACTTCAGAGCTCTGATCTTGACTTCAGGAGACTGACAGTGAAGCATGTCTCTCGCCTCTCCTGGAGAAAGGTGGTGGGCTCTAGGTGCAGAAAGGGGCATATATTTTCAGTTGCGGCCAATTGGCTTGACTTTATTTCAAGAGAAGAATTCCTTGGGGGGGGCGGGTAGGAAAATAGTTTGAGAAATGACAGGAATGCAGAAAAGAAAAGAGAATCAATGAAACATTTTTTAAAATAAAATTTTCAGAGTACAATTCCCAGTGTCCTTGTTCCACTCTCTTTCTTACCCAACCTACCTAATGTGTCATTTCAGTTGTCATTGCTTTAATCTGGCAGTTCTCAAACTTTTTGGTCTCAGAACCTCTTTACACTCTTAAAAATTATTGAAGAACCCAAAGAGCTTTTGGTTATATCTCTTGATATTTACGTTATTAAAATTTTAAACTGGTAAAATTTTAAAATAGCATTAATTCATTTAAAAATAACAGTAATAAACCAATTACATGTTAACATAAGTAATGTATTTATGAAAAGTGTATCCCAAAACAAAAAGAAATTTAGTGAGGAGAGTATCATTGTTTTACATATTTTTGAAATCTCTTTAGTGTCTGGCTTAATAGAAGACAACTGTATTCTCCTATCTGCTTCTGCATTCAATCTGTTGTGATATGCTGTTGTAGTTGAAAAAAAAAATGAAGAAAATCTAGCCTTACAAAGATATGTAGCTGGAGAAGGGAAGAGCATTTTAATAGATAAATAACATCTTAGTATTATCATTAAAATAGTTTTGACCTAATCGACCCTCTGAAATTTTCTCAGGGACAGAAAAGGTCTAGGCCTGATCTACAGGGTTCAAAGGACCACACCTTGAGAACCTCTGTTCTAACCTAACACCTGCCTTTTGTTTCAGGAATGTAAACTAGGGCAGTGTGGAAGGTGTTAAGAATGGATTAGTAAACTGATGAAGGGGATGGTTTCAGAAATCTGGGAAGACTAGCACTCTGATGTAGAGCGAAATGAGCAGAACCAAGAGAACAAATTATACAGTAACCACAACCCTATAAAATCAAACAACTTTGAAGCACTTTAAAACTCTAATTAATATTATATCATATGTTCAGGTCTGGATTGTTCTCTTCCCACTTGCAGGGGACCCTTTCTGCCTTCAGATGTTAGAGAGATGCTATTCCTTCATGCTTCTTCTACTTATCTCCAGGCTTGGCTTGACCTGTCTGTACATATTGGAAAGAAAGCCTATTCTATTAGGGCCCTACACTACTCCCCAGCCTGAGAAGTCTAACAACCTGAGAGGTCATTTTCCTGAGGTTAAATATCTAATGATGTTATTAACCCTCCAGAACTCATTTGACATTGATTAAAAAACACCCAACCCCATCCTACCCAGTCCATCCAAATCATCCTGAAATGCCCCTACTTCATTACACAAAATCCATTCACATATACCCCACTACCACCACCACCACTAACTACAATGTCCCACTCTAAAGCTACCCACTTCTTCCATTGTGCTCCCTGGAACAGATGCTCAGTAGGTAACAAACACTTTCATCCTGAATCTTTTCCTTTCCCACTCCCTTCATCTCCGGGCTCTCACTCTGACCTGGATCCCTCCTGATGATACAACCACCCTAGCCACCTTTGAATCCCTTTCCAACACTGGTTGCACTTTCACTCATAACCCTGACTCATTGGTCCAAGTGGGAAAGTTGGAATACTCTTTCACTCAGTAACCTCCTTCACTTAGTAACTTCTTTTTTGAGGTGTACAAAATCCGTATCTACCATCCAATCAAAATTCTGATCACTGTTGTCTACCTACCTCCAGTACACTCTCCTTTCCTCATTGAGTTCAGTGCCTGGCTTAGTCTTTCTCTTTTCCTCAACTCCTGTCCTCATACTAGGGGACTTCAACATATTGATTCTCCTTCAAATACTCTAACCTTCCAGTTCCTCAATTTATTCATTTCCCATGACTCCCTCCTCCACCCCACCATAGCTACACACAGATAGTGATACTCTTGGTCTTACCATCAACCACAAAAGTTCCACTTTCATGTTTATGAATTCTGAATCCAATCATAAGTTGATGTTATTCCACCTCTCACTTTCTGGCAAATCCAAACCCTGCTCTTTGTTCTCATGGACCTCCAATCCCTTATCCCCTTAGTTCTTTCCCTATATCACCCCTGAAATGTTAGTTCATCACCTCTGTAATGGCAATACTCCTCCCTTCCATATCTTGACCCCTTATAAACCCGTTCAACTTGACACTGTGCTCTTCTCTTGAAACCTTTGTCCTTTTGTTCTGTCCTAGATCTTGCCCTGCCAAACCCCAGTCCTGGAATACTCCCACCATCCAGTGTCTTGAAATTAAATTAGAGAAAGTCATGAAATTGTGCTGACTGGATCCACTACAAATTTATGTTACATAATCTCAATGGGACCCTCATTGCAGCAAATCAATCCTTTTACACCTCTCTAACTGACTTACTTTCTCATTCATCATAGCAACCTTTCCAAACCTTTTCATCCCTCCTCAAACCTACCATATCTCCCCTTGTCCCTACACTCTCAACTGAGAATCTGGCTTCATATTTCACTGAAAGAATTGAGGCCATTCTCCAGAGCTCCTCTTCTCCTCTCCTACTCAACTTAAATCACTCAGATGTCTTTTACCCCTATCTGCCCTTTCATCCCTGTCTCACATAATGAGTCGGCCCTTCTCCTTTCCAAGGCAAACTCTTCTCCTTGCTTCAGATGATGCTGTTTCATCCTGTCTCCTCCAGCAGTTTGCCCCCTCTATTTTCCCCACTCTCTCAATTATCTTAAATCTCTCCTTGTCTACTTGCTGTTTCCTTATGACCTACAAACATATTCATATCTTCCCTATCCTCACTTGATCCATCCATACTTGCTAGTTATGGTCCCATTTCTCTTCTCTCTTTTGTGGCCATACTACTTGAGAAGACTGGCCATCATGGATGGCCACTTTCTTTCCCTTTCTTTCCTCTCCTTTCACTCTCTTCTTATCTTTCTATAGTATGGCATCCCACCTCATCATTCAAACAAAATTGCTCTCTTCAAAGTTACCAACAATCCTAATTGCCAAGTCTAGTGGCGCTTTTCTCAATCTTCGTCCTTCTTGACTTCTTTCCATCCTTTGACACTGTCTGTCAATCACCCTTTTCTCCTCTCTATTCTCTCCTCTCTAGGTTTTTGTTAACCTAATCTTTCCTGGCACCTATATGACTACTCCTTTTCAGTCTCCTTTGCTGGATCTTCATACAGATCACATCCACTGACCTGAGTGTCTTGGGCCCTTTCTCTCCTCCCTCTATTCTACTTCACTTAGTGATCTCATCAGTTCCCATAGATTCAATTATCATCACTATGCTGATGATTCTCAGATCTAGTTATCCAGCCCTGACCTCTCTGCTGACCTCTAGTATCCCATCTCCACCTGCCTATTGGACATCTCAAACTAGATGCATAATGATCTTCAACTTAGGTCCAAAACCGAACCCATTATTCCCCCCCACCCAAACTCTCTCCTCTCCTTAACCTCTCTATTACCACTAAGGACACCACCCTCCCTCTAGTCATCCAGGCTCAAACGTTAGTTGTTTTCCTTGATACCACCCCCGACCTTTCTCACTGCTAATATCTAATCTGTTGCCAAGGCTTGTTGATTTCACCTTTGCATCATCTCTTACCAGATCATGTGGGACAAGTCAAGGGAGCATATATAGTGTTAGCCATGCTGTTCTTCTCATGCCTTCCCACTTCAATATGGGACTTTTATCCCTAAAGAATGCTACCTAAGGAGGCAGCAGGTAATGTTGAAAACATGAGATTCTACCAGTATAACTGCGGATGTTACTTTCCTTCCCCTTGCCTCAATTTCCTCATATGAGGAGGGTGGACTAGATGTCCTCTAAAGCCCCTTCCAGCTTTAAATTTATAATCAGAATCTATGGGTAAACTAAGGGAGTTAAACTAGATAATCTCTAAATTATCTTTAATTTAGATCGATGTGGTCCTAAGTACAGGCATACCTCATTGCTGTTAGCTTTATAGTGCTTTGTAGATATTGCATTTTTTTTTTTGGCAAAGTGAAGGTTTGTGGCAGCAAATCTATTCAGCACCTTTTCCAACAGCATGTGCTCACAGAGTGTCCCTGGATCACATTTTGGTAATTCTTACAATATTTTAAAATTTCCATTATTATTATATATGTTATAATTGTGTTATATACACATTATATATGTATAATTGTTTATACATATTATATATGTTATGGACCACTAATCAGGTCCATATAAGACTTTGAACTTAATCGATAAATGTTGTTTGTATTTTGACTGCTTCACCAACCGCTTCCTGGAATACAACATTGAAATTAGGCCAATTAATGTTGTTTGTCCTTCATTTTTTTTAAGAGGACCAATGACATCATGGAGTGATGTCCTGACTCATGTGTGAATTGGATTTAAGTGAGGCAGAGTTGCACAAAGTCATCAGCTTCACTCTTTCTTCCAGAGTCATCAAAGTCCAGTGGCAAGACAAAAGCTGAGAAGACCAGTGATGGCCCAGATTGCAGTGAGTGACCTTAGTGTTTTCAATGTCTGACCAGGTTCTAAGCACTCCACAGCTGTCTTCATAGCTGTTGGAACAAATTGTTCTATTGGAACAAATTGTTTTCATTTGCCCATTTGGCA